AAAGCCCGGGAAGTTTTCCAGCGTCGGGCCCGCCGGATCAATCAGAAGTTTCTTTTCTGCTCAATCGTACGGCATTCAAAACTTCAAAAACTTCTTCACTGACCATCGTACGGATCAAAGATCTTCAAGAACTTTAAGAAAACTTCAGGCGGCATCATCCCGTAAACACCGCTGATCATCCGACGGACCATGAACTTCTCAAGATTAGCCCAGCTTAGAGCCAAGGTGGCAGATCTGACGTTCCAGAAAACTTTCAAAAATTCATCGACGGGTTTCTTTGAATCACAAAGACCATCCAAAGTCACCAGTCTTTCAAGACTGAAGTTGAACTTTCCGCAAGCGATGGCGCCAAGGCTTCTGCTGTCACAGGAATGCAGCCGCCCTGACTGAATGAAGCTCAGAGGTGCTTCCTAGATTCTCCTATGCAATCTTGCCTGCAGAAAGAATGGAGGACGGAGCAGGACATGCAGCTCCTGAAGTTGCTGAGATTGCATACAATGGAACTCCTTTGGAGCCCTTCATACAGTTTGTTAAGCTGAAGGTTGGAGGCAAAGAGACTTGTGAGAGCTACATCTTTGAGGCACCCAATCCAACAATCTCTGCAAAGACTGAAAAGCCAGGGCCTTCGTCTGGAAACCCATTTGGTGCACCTCGGGTAGAGCCCTTCAAAGCTTGGGGCTGCACAGTCATTGTCCTTTCCTGGCAAAATTTCTTCAAGGGTTTCGTGCCTGAGAAGTTTATCTGTGTCCGCGGCTGTGGCAAGGCCACTGTGGTACGCAATGGCTGGTACTCTAAGCTAGTCAGGGCTTTGGGGCTCCATCGACCCCTCTTTCTTCTCTCTCAGGATTACCGCTGCAAGGACTGCCATGCGAAGCCCGATGGCAAGGGGGGCTACGGCAGCACGTTGTATCTAGCTCACAGTCTAGATATCCTCAATCAGTTGCGCCCCTTCGTCAAGGACCAGCTGCCCATTGACTTCACTGAGACTGGCGTGCCTGTGGAGCGATCGCTGCAGGATTTGATCCACTTTCTCGCTCCGGAAGCAATCGGTTTCCCTCGCATCGCACGCCTGGTGAAGGAGATGCATGTGTTGGCCGAAAAACGACGAGAGCTTGTCTACTATGAGTACCAGTGCGAGTTGAAGGCAAAGCGGGCTGAGGCGGAAGCGAAGCGCCAGAATGGTATAGGCAGGTTTTTCGGTGGCACTGTTGGTGGGGGGGCAGGCATTGAGCAGCTGGTTCAAAGCTGGGCCATGGGGAAGCGAGTTCCGGACTGGATTGCTGGTCCAGCGCTCCTGTCAGCAGTCTTCTTGCAGCAGGCTGCTGGGAATATACCCACATACAACAAGCAGATGGCGCTTGTGAAAGGCGAGTGCGTTGGGGTCGACCACTGCCACAAACTGATGCGGAGGATCAGGTATGTTAAACCAGCTTTTAAGGGCGACCAGTGTGGACAGCACATCGGTTCTTTGCTTCTGGATGTCTGATTGCATGAGCAAGCTGCCACTTGCAAGTCTTCTGATTCTGTGAGACCGTGCTCTTCTTGTTTTCTGTATATCATAAAATACAGAGGAAGGTTCTGTGGATGCAACTATTTGCAGCCTGCACCTTAAACCATGCAGCAGAGGTTCGAAATCCAGTGCTCATCATTCTTTCAGAGGCGTGGAGGGGCAGCGTGTTTTGGAGGCCACCCTCACCATGATGACGGAGACGGGAGAAGTTGCAACCAGCCTTTGGACGCACAGTACGTCCCTTGAGGTTGTCAAAGACAATCTCCGTCAAGTCTACGAGCGGATGGCAGCAGCAGGCCGCGCAGTGAGCTTCCACAATCGCTTTTATCTCCCTTCGAAAGCTCCGCTTTGCCGTCTTGCACCAGCATATAGTGCACCAGCTCATTCACTCTTGCTCAGCAGTTCATTGCTCTGGTCTCTTACATGGTTGCAGCACTTTGCGGATCAAGAGATCTTTTCTAGATCAGCGCCTGATGTTAAAAGACAGGTGCACCTCACTGCAAGTGCGCATGTTGCTTGCTTGCAGCCCCGGGTGTTATTCTGTGACTGGCCCGAGGTGATGGGCCCCTTTTTCATGGGCATCTGGCCCGGGCTGGAGGCGTACCTCATGGACATTTTGCACGCTATCATGCGTGTGACCAAGCGCATCCCTGAAGATCATCCTTTCAGAGGTAATTGTTCAAGCTGGGTTGCAAGCATGTTAGCCCATGCAGTGTGCTCTTCAAGCTGCTCTATATTACAAGAGCTCTTCTTTTATAAAGCGAGCTCGATTATCAAACCTTTGCAAAGTGTTGATTTGATCCTCCTTGACCGCAGCGCGCCTGTTTAATGAGAAACTGTTCAGCACATGTTTACTGCTTCACTTTACCTCATCACAAGACCGAATGCGAGTATTATGCTTGTTGGAAGCTGTGAGAGCAATTGCAATTCAAGAGGGTCCTCTGATGGAGTTGCTTATTACCCCTTCGACTTTTTGAGCAGGTTGGTTGCAAGGGAAGCTGAGCGACGCCATCTTCCTCAAAAACCAAGCGGACATGGTGGGAATTATGAAGGAGCTTGATCAGAAGGGGAAAACACTTTCGGACAAATCTGGGAAGAATGCACTGAGGAGATGCCGCAAAGCAGTACCACCCCCGGAGGTCTTGCTTGCGCGGCTTGAGGTGAGAAGCCTTTGTTTCCATTTCTTTATGTTTGGTTGTGCGCCGCACTCGAAATCTCCTGTGGAGGCAATTCTTGGGTTGCTTATCACTGTAGCTCTCTGGCATAAGATGGCTTACAGATGGGGGTTAGCTCGACAGGGTTCAAGAGAGGTTGGCCGGACGTACTGGTCAGCCTAGGAGGTCAATGCATGCTCAGCTGGTTTTCAAATTTAACCGAGTGGGTTCGAGAGATGCTTCAATAAGCCGGCTCGCAAAGCTGTTGATTTTGTAAGTGTCCCGTCATCTGGCACAGTGACAAGCTCACTAGTGAGAAGCACGGGTTCACCCTATGTACGGCATTTGCCCTCGGTCACAGACTTTCTGATCGTTGACTTAGTTTTCAATCTTGACAGGCAGTTGGCGACGAGGCGTCGTCCAAGGTCAACCCGCTCACTTCGGAGCCCCTCCTTGGGTCTGACGCTCAACGAGCGTTTCAGGGTCTACTTGAGCAAGCGCGGCTCGGCTTGTTGAGCGGTGAGTGGCGCTATGTCTACCCAATGGCTTACGAGCGGAATCAAAGGGTCCGAAAGTTCTGGCACTTTCTCGGATCTGGTTTCGATTGTCGTTCTCAAGGTACTAAGTCACAATCTGCAGGGTTACTTGGTGTCTGTAAAGAGGCTTCCAGTTGGATTCGGGTTATTATTCTGGGTTACTGTCTTTGGTTGATGTCTGCTTGACAACGTCTGTACTTCGCTCTGATCACAGTTTGAACATCAGTGGTATCTATATGAGCATCAACATCCAGCATGTGCAGCCAGATCAGCGTCAATCTGAAAGTGACATCAGGGCCGTTGTTGGACTGGTCGTTACAAGGAGACAAGGAGACCTGCGGATACTTTATTTTCGCTTGCCTGCAATACGAATACAACTTTCTGTTTGAATCGACAATATACCCACATTGCAGATCCGCCAAACATGGAGATGTACTATCTCAAGCCTGCGAACGGTGCAAACGCCCGCCCCCAGTATGCCTGCAAACGAGTGGGCTCAAGACTGGAGGGCTTCCACGTGCACTTCCAGGCCATCCTGAAGAACTACAACATCAGCGCGGAACTTGCGTGGGCGGTGGCCGCCACGTGGCTGAACGGGTGGAACATCCGGATGCGGCAAACCAACTGCGGCGAACCCGACTATGGCCCCGCCTTCAATCTTGAAATCCTATATCGGATTGGAGAGCATATGCAAGCCCTCGGTCTGGCCCCGGCGTACAGGGATGTGCAATTCACCATGGAGGAGACTGCGGAGAGCTTCGGAATCCATTGCACCCCTGCCGGGCTCCAAGAGGTCGCCGCTGCCTTCCAAGAGGGGGAGTTCGCTCCGACCCAATTCCCAGAGGTTGCATACCTGGACTCCGATGGTAAGTTTTCTCGCAACTCGGAACACATCAATATCAAGATTGGACTTGTGCGTTGACGAACTGAGATAAGCCGTTTGTGACTGGAAGTGTTGCTTCCTGCGTGGGTGTACAGTCACAGATTCGGATGTTGCTTGAAAACTTCGAAAGTTGCTTCAATCAGGACTCAACCTTTTGCATGACTTGGAGAATTCGGAATTTTCCAACATACTGCGACTGGAAGTCAAGTCAAGAATGGTCGCACGGGAAGCGTTCCCTTATGAGTGCTTGAGGGGTAATTCTCCTTTTATCTACCTACCTTGATGCGCCGTTTTTGAATATATCTGCATGGCCATGCAGCCGATTATGCCTTATCTTCAATGCAGGTCTGGACTTCGACGCCAATTCCGAGCCGGAGTCAGGGGGCGCTGCACGGCCGCAAATAAACCCTGTCCCTGGGGGGAATGAAGCGCCCGACCAGCCAGCCATCCCGCGCCCGCCAAGTGCGCATGATCGAGGCGCGCGGAACCAGGCAGCCGTCGTGCCCGCGCTCCCTGTTTTGGGGGACAGCGTGCACCACCAGTCGGCGGTCTTGCGGCCAACCGTTCGTGCCGGGGGGACGCCCAACCAGCCCGTCTTCACGTCGCCGGTCGTTGTGTCGAGTAGTGGGGTTCGGAGTCAGCCCACTCTCGCGCCACCGCTGTTCGTCTCGGGTGAGGGGGGGCGGAGCCAGCCAGCCTTCGCGCTGCCGTCTGCTCGTCCCGCTGAGGGAGTGCGGAGCCAGCCAGCCTTTGCGCCGGCGTCTGCTGTTCCTGGTGGGGGCGTGTGGAGCCAGCCACCCTTCGCGCCAACGTCCGCTGCTCCTCGGGGGGGGTGCGGAGCTGGTCCTGGTGGGGGGGGTCGGTGCCAGCCAGCCTTCGCGCCGCACCCGGCTGTTCCTGGGGGGGGGGTGCGGAGCCAGCCCGTCATCGCTCCGCATCCCGCTGTTCCTGGTGGGGCGGGGCGGAGCCAGCCCTCCGTCGCGCCGCACCCCGCTGTTCCAGGGGCGGGGTCCGGAGCCAGCCCGCCTTCATGCTGCCGCCCGCTGTCCCTGGTTGGGGGATCCGGAGCCAACCCGTCATCGTCTCGCCGCTCGCTGTCCCTGCTAGGGGGGCTCACAGCCAGCCCGTCTTACAACCGCCTGTTGTTGAGAGAGGGGGGGCGGAAAGCCTCAAGCAGCCCACTCTTGATCGGCCGGGCGTTCCAAGTGGGGGCGCACGCAGCGAGCCCGCACCAGGGAACGCAGGCAGTCTTCACACTGTCTCCCCAACCGAGGTGGGGATCGAGCCACGTGGCACTCCAACTGTTCCTTTCACGCCTCACTTCAATGTGCCATCTAGTCGGAGGAGGAAGCTGCGGACGTTGCCTCCGCTGCATAACTTTAACCTCGTCCACTTTAAGCGGCCTATCACGACTGCGAGCGAGCACAACCTGTTCTTGGAGCTGTACATGAAGCATGCAACCAAAGGCGGAACAAATTACAGAGCCGTTCTGATGGAGTTCAATTCGATAGTCGCGAGGCAGCTTTGGGGCCTCTCGCAAGGCGGTCATCAACAAGCGATAGACAGCGATCTCTACTTCAAAGATTATCGCGACATCACCCGCTACGAACGCCAGCTAGTACGCTCGTTGCTCTCACGCGAAGCGGACAACACAAGCATAGCCCTGAGTTCGGCAATTGAGCATGCTACTGTTTCTCCTCCTCAGACGTCGGGCTGCGGGTTAGGTCGTGCGCAGGGAGACGGTCCATCAGGTGTTGCAGCGGAAGCCCCTGTAGAAGGGTACACCTGTCAACTTGTTGTCCGACCGCCGGGTGTGGAGAGCTCTCGACCGAAGGCGGGCAATCAAGGGGGTAAGGGAGTGGGAAAGAGATGCAGAAAATGTGATCCGGATGGGACGCTTGGAATTATGCGAGGCGCGGAGCATAATTGCCCCTATAGCAAAAAGAACATGCTAAAGAGGAAACGAGAGTAGGGAGACACATTTGCTTATTTATTAGATTGCTACAACCAGCCATTGAAAGTTGTAGTACTTGTGTACAAGTATATAAGGTATGTTTTTGTGATACATGCCAATCTATGAATCTTTCATCGTTGATGTGAACCTTTTTACAGCGGCTAGGCCCTAACACATTCATAGCGATATTCGAGTGTTGTTTCACTTCAAACCATGTGAGTGCATTCTGTTGAATTGCGTCTAGGGCTATTCGTACCTGCATGCCGATGATCTTGCACGTTGCCGATCTACGACTCTAACGGATATCAATGAAAGTACGAGTTCCGCACCTACTCAAAACGTTCGGACCGATGGATTTTTACTGACGTCCGCGCAGGCTTTTGTTTTTTTGGTATCTTGCATAAACCACGGAACATCAGTGCATCAATGGGCCTACTAAATGTGCAGCATGCTGCATAATCTGCATAATCCACTGTATTTTCACTAAGCACAGTATGTGCACGAGTTGCTGACCTTGAGAATCATGCTGCTGATCTTGAGAATAAGCGCACATGTGCAATATCGGTATGGCCTTTCTTTCGGTATCACATGCCTAAGCTACAGCCTACGCATATGGATGCAGTTTAAGATATTTTCATGGATAAACATATGAGCCTGGTTCTCGTACCAGTACTAACGGTACTAGCACTGAGTGAGCAGTGACTGATCCACTAATGAGCGGGCTCGGGATGCTGCCGCAAGCCAATTGTGGACACGTAGCCGTTTTCACCCGGAATCCGGGAAAAGCGGCGACGTACTAAGAGGCTCTAAGATCCATTTTCGATAACGATAAATCGCAGCCCGAACCGCTGCTAAAATTGCCCGGACATGGTATCGAAAGTGGACAAACTCCTGAACAGCTCCTCTTCGGAACAAGTACTGTCAGAGATTTAAATTGCCCCAGTCGCGGCTGCGCCGCACCCTACTACGTTTGAGGAACTGGAAGGGGTCGGGCCCTGCGGGCCCGACCCCTTATCGCCTCCGGCGATGGCCGGCCCGACCCCCCGAATTTTCGCCAAAGCC